CTTTAATTACCCAAAACACCGGAGATATAAGGAGTTAATCCCTAGTAAACCACTTCAAGCCTAGAAGTAGTAGTTTCCTTCAGATATTCCAACCTTTACGCTCAACCTGGGGCAGGGTAGTGTTCAGTTAATTCAACCCCGCACTCGAATCAGCAAAGCAAAATCCAGAAGGCGGTTATTCATCAATGATCCATGACATGGCAGTCACAACCTTCCCAAAAATAAAAATCAAAAATCCTGCTAAGTCAAACACCTCAGAGGGGACTTAGGCAAAAAATCAAGGCAATCCCGATGGATCTGACAAGCAAAGTCAATCCATGCAAAAGTTAGGGATCAAAAACAAAAAACAAAAGAGGACCCCGAAACCCTCAACAAAAAAACTAAATTTCAGTGGTCATCCAATCGAGAGGGTCACTGATATCTATCAAAATAAGGTGACTGCCACATCGAGCAAACCTTGAACCTTCAAGCTTACACCGTCCAGACAAGTGTAGAATTAACTGAGCGTAGGACTGGAGATCATTAAGAAGAAGGGGTGGGGTACAAATCATACTTTGAGCCTAATAACCTTTGTTTCATAACCGTGAACCAGACCACGTTACAACCATCGAAAGACCTAATTGAGGCGGGGTTTATTCTGAAAGCATACTATCGCAAGGTTGCGTAACCTGACTCCTCACATGATTGCAAATCATCAACATTGGTGTCATTATTCTTGCAACATCTTTTATACTAATCAAAATTAGCACTACGTCTGGGCTAATGGTCCATTCGTTTCACTATCACGACACTTCAATAAAACGATACTTTTTCAAATCTTGCATCAAACTTTGCATTAATATTACCATTTGTGAATGTACAATTTTAATTGCAAATCAGTGCTAGGTATTCAAAGACGTCTCAACAAGGGGCAATCAAGGAAGAACTTGACTTTCAGTGACTGTCACGAAGCAAGACTACCTCAGAACCCACAGGCTGGGGCAAATCACTCAACAGCTCGAGCAGGGGCAAGTCATCCGAGTTCAACTTCCATATGCCAGAACTGGTTAAGCTGGGGCAGACCATTACCATGTTCAAACTGGGGCAAGACCAGGTCGTCCTGACCATCAAGCAGAGTTGCAACCTTTTCTGAAGGAAATTCACAATAAACTGCCAAATACCCAGACTTGGGGCATATAGAGTATCTTCGTCTGCTTCAATCATGGCATCTTCAACAAGCTACGTGTCGAGGAAGTCAATCCCTCCCACCGCCCGAAGTCCAATCTGCATTAGCAACTTCTAGAGTCCACCGCGCTGGCGTCTCCCAGCATTTCCAATTACCTGTCTGCAATCATGTGCATCATACGCATTGCATTCGCTATCATAAGCATCTTGCATCATATGCATACCCAACCATATCATACTTCCCCGACTCTTGCATCTCCGCGCGTCAGCATTTGCGTTGGCACTTCCACTCGCATGGAATATCATTTATCATCCAACATTCATATATGCAAGTCAAGGTCCAGGATCAATCTTAAAGGTTTCCAAGACCATCACCAGCCCAATCAGGGGCATCTTCCACAACGTCTTCAAAGCAATCATCAGCCCAATCAGGGGCATTTTTGCAAGATTGTGGGTTTGTCCCACGATTTTCAAGAGCTTCAAAGCAATCATCAGCCCAGTCAGGGGCGATCTTCTGCGATTATCTTCAAGTCAATATTCAGCCCAGTCAGGGGCATACCATTCAGGACCATGGGCGTTCCCCACGAAGTTGTTCAACATTTTGTTGGGCAAGTCCAAGAAGTTCAGTGCAAGATTCAACCCGAGCAGGGGCATCTTCAGCAAAGCCGTGAGTGTTCCTCACGAAGTTGTTCAGCCTTTCGTTGAGCCAGACAAGACAAGACAAACTTAGCCCAGTCAGGGGCATCCTCTTCAGAATTCATGGGCGTAACCATGAAATCATTTCAACAAAATTAAGAACTCCAAGAAAGTCAGTGGTCTTCCCCTTTGATTCATTTCAACCCAATCTGCCTCTTGGTTATTCCCCGATGAGTTGAGCAAGCGTGACTGTTGTCAATTGCCTTACTATCATCCTTTTGGTGATAGCCGAATCTCGTCAGTTTAACCCAGCCTGCATCCTTTTGGTGTTGGTAAACTTCAAATTGGTGTTGTCCTATCATCCTTTTGGTGATAGCAAACTGTGTGTTGTGTTTTGCTCTGCTATCCTTTTGGTGGTGGGTCTGGCATTTCGTCGATATCAGATTGTGCGATATTTTGTTTGTGTTTCGCTCCGTCATCCTTTTGGTGGGGGGTCTATCATGGTCATTAATGATAGATTGTGCGATAGTGTGTTTTGTGTTTCGCTCCATCATCCTTTTGGTGGTGGGTCCGGCATTTCGTCGATGTCAGATTGTGCGATATTTTGTTTGTGTTTCGCTCCGTCATCCTTTTGGTGAGGGGTCTATCATGGTCATTAATGATAGATTGTGCGATGTGTTTTATATGAGTTCGCTCCGTCATCCTTTTGGTGAGGGGTCTATCATGGTCATTAATGATAGATTGTGTGATATGTTTGGTGTGTGTTTTGTTCCGTCATCCTTTTGGTGAGGGGTCTGTCATAGTCATTAATGTCAGATTGTGCGATTGTGTTTTGCTCTATTATCATTTTGGAGGTAGTAGCTGTGTGTGTTTCATCCCATCATCCTTTTGGTGATGACAACTTTTGCCGATTATTTACAGTTTACTCATGGGTTTACATTTTCTGGTATTTCGATTCCCAAGTACACCTTTTGTTTTCAGACAAATTCAGGGTCTTCTTTATATCCAATTGACTTCTACCACGGGAGAATGAACGTTGCAGCAGTTCATTTCCCTAGCTTTAAGCCAATTAAATAGGGGCATCTGTCATACCCCAAATTTGTCCTACCTATATGATTTGCACCTGTACGTCCATCCACCAACCATTACTCATTAAATCCAAAAAATATGTTCATCAGGCCAAGAATGAGTATTTACTAAAGGTTAGTCAGGTTTGACCTAATCTTGGTCAAATTGGTCATGTTGCATAATCAAGGTCAAAAGCATTGATTTAGTTGGAGTATGGATTAAGTAACCGGACAATGGTTGAGTTATTAGTATTTCATGGTTGGTAGTAATCAATATATGGTTCACTCTTCAATCAGAGTTTTATGTAATGCTTTGGAGTCCATATTTTAATTCACGATTTTTCCAATTTGAAAGCAGGATGCTTGTTTAAGAAGGTTTATGGTGACAATTTTGGTTTGACATGATGCAAGAGGCAGGAGTTCAAGTCATATTTCGCAAATGGCTTTAAGGTTTTAAAATTCTAAATTTCAAGATTGGTTCATGATTATTTATCAAGAGACTGATTCAGGACATTATGCAAATCCAAGAGTGACTTCGAATGTAAGACGTGGAGTTCATATGAAATTTGAGTTTTAGTCATCTATGTCCGTAATCGAAGAATCCAAAGACCATTTTTAAAAAGGGCATGTATCAAAAAATATTAAAAGCCTTTGCCCATTACATTAGTAATTATGGAAATTACACTCGAAACAAAATATAAAAAAAATATCCCAACAGCTATTTCCAAAAGCCTCATGCCAGCATGCACCGCTTTCCAAGAATCTTACTCCATGTTGGCGTGGGTTGCGGCGCGAAATGAACACCAATGAGTGCCTCATCTCAGACCATCATAGCTGCAACTTATTGCCTGCACACACCAATTGAAAGGTTTTCTCATGAAACCAATGTCAAATAAAATAACAAGAGGGATCAATCAGTCATAGAGTTCAGAGATTAGTGAAGTATCGGTTTTTTGAACAAACAATCAGATCTTCTTCTGAATGCTGATGATTTGGATGCAATGTGGGTGTGCTTAAGAGAAAATTGTGTGATCGATGATGCTACTGGTGCAGAAAAGATGAATTATGAAGACTTTTGCCACATTGCTTCTGTATGTACAGAACAAATAGGTCCTAAATGCCGACGATTCTTTAGTCCTTCTAACTTCATGAAGTTCGAAAAAGATGAGCAGGGGAGAATTGCCATTCTACCATTTTACCTTTTACGTGATGCGTACGGTTTCACTTACACAGGCAAGAATTGATATGAGTGAGCTTGATGAGGATTCTGATGGTTTCCTTCAGCCACATGAAATGGAAGCCTATATACGAGGTCTTATACCCAATTTGGCACAGTTACGTCGTGAAATGGCTGCAGGCTTTGTTCCAATGTACTGTCGTATTGCTACACACAAGTTCTTTTTCTTTTGTAATCCTTATAGACGAGAAAAAACTTGCATCAAGAAGGTTCTGCTTAACAATTGTCTTCAGGAATTAATGGAGCTTCACCAGGAAAGTGAAGAAGAAGTAACAGACACAGAACAAGCCGGAAACACCTTTTCGATTGGTCTAGTACGTACTGTACGTGCAGCAAATTTGTTCACGCAAGCCCCTCAAACTTCTCTCGACCGCGACCGTGTAACCTGCAGTGAAAGAAAACCAAGCGGTTCAGAAACTTTCAGTGCCAATTTCTCACAAATGCAGCCTATTGTCAAAACCATAAACCGCAATATTGTCTATTAAACCTGCAACAAAAAATGCAAATGGAAGTTCAATAAAGGCAACTACGAGCCACACGTAACCCAATACGATAAGCCATTTTTGAGTTATGCTATTACCATATCATCAGCAGCCTATAGAGAGGGCATTTGAAAATTCCACGTACAATATTCAAAACCAACAATGCAGCTGCCAAGCACAAAATTTTCAACTTGTATCTGCATTACAATGTAAACATAACCATTTTTTCAAACTTTGAAAATTCAAAATCAAATCAAATTCATCTCAAACAAAAAACATAAACATAGCGTGTGTGTCTTCATCGTCAACACAACACAATCCTATGTTATGTTCTTTTTTCGTTGAGTAGTCACAAAGAACCCCATTTCACTTTTTCGAATTCAAAACTTTTCAAACCTGTTTTTTTCCTCAAAGATGGAAACTTTATCTCTAAACAGTAAAGATTCTCACAAGAAAAAAGAAGGGTCTCGTTGCTGTGCCACTGATTCAAGTGCTGAGTCTAGAAAAACAAGTTTCAGTGGATCTAGTTCTACTTCTACTTCTACCTCTACCTCTTCACTTTCTACTTTTACTTCTACTTCAGATGAAGCTAAAGCGAAAGGGTTTTCATCTCCTCCTACTCCTCTTGGCTGGCCTATTCTCAAAGCTACACTTTCCAATTCAAAGCGTTTGAGTTCTGATGAAAAACATAAACCCAACTTGGAGTTGGATCACAGCAAATTTACCTCTATTGATTTAAAAATCCCAGATGTTGATATGATGGAGAGGTTTGCAAAGTTGTTGCTTGGTGAAGATATGTCAGGTTCAGGAAAAGGGGTTTGCACTGCTTTGGCAATCTCTAATGCCATTACTAATCTTTGTGCTACTGCATTTGGGCAACTATGGAGACTGGAACCACTACCTAGTGAGAAGAAAGAAATGTGGCAGAGAGAGACGGAATGGCTTGTTAGCATTAGTGATCACATTGTTGAATTAATACCTTCTTGGCAAACATTTCCGGATGGAAAGAAACTCGAGGTAATGACTTGCAGGCCTAGGACAGATATTTGTATCAATCTTCCCGCCCTTCGCAAACTTGATAACATGCTACTCGAAATATTAGAGAGCTTCACAGCTACAGAATTTTGGTATGTTGATCAAGGAATTGTAGCTGCTGATGCAGATGGTTCGGCCTCTTTTCGCAAGTCAATTCAGCGGCAAGAAGAGAAGTGGTGGCTCCCGGTACCCCGTGTCCCCCCTAAGTCGAATGCTCGTCCGCATTCGCAACCCATTTTATTCACAACTCCTCGTGGTTTTTGATATTAGGGGCACCCTCAGGGACTAATATCATTTCTCACAATCCTAACACTTGACACGTCGTCAAGTCGGTCCCATTTCTGATCAAATCTTTGACACGTCGTCGAGCTACTTCAAAACAACTTCCTTTTGGCCTCGCATGCCATTCTTCGATTCGATCCTTTCACAAACTCTTTTTAAAAACTTACGAAAGAAAGATATTCTTAGAATCTAGCATTCTTTGAATATTCGAATAAGTAACTCTCGAGGCGCACCCTTGAGTTGTTATTAGTTCATTCTTTCAAACTCAAAACATCCAACTCTTTACCTTCAATTTATTCAGTCAATTCCCGAAAGAACTGAGTTCTTGGAATCTCGCATTCCTTGAATTCTTGAGTGACAAGCTCTTGAGGCGCGCTCTTGGGTTGCTTGTCAGTCACCTTTTCGTCTCATACTCAAACTTCAACCCTTTTCAAACCTCATCTTTTCGTGGTTGTTACGACGAACTACGGACGCTCTGATTCTTCATTCATTTTCGAATGTAAGATATGTAGGCACAAGATTGCGATGATCTTGGCGAGCACACTTCTATCCATCTTCCGTTTCCCCCCATCCTTTCCCGTAGTCGAACTACGCGCTCTAATTTCTCATTCTCGTCCGAATGAGCATACGTAGGCACAAGGGCCCCAATCCTTGGCGAGCACCCTATCTTCCAACCATCCCTCTCCCCCTAGCATCTTAAACCTTTTACCTTACCAATTCTACCCTTAACAACGAGAAGAAAACAAGTAAACCTAAACAACACTCCCCACATTTACCTTAAGGGTTCCCGTCGAGTACGACGGACGTGAGGGGTGCTAATACCTTCCCCTCACGTAACCGACTCCCGAACCCGGAACATGGTTGCGACAGCCCTGTTCCTATCCTTTTGTTTCAAGAGGTTTTCTCGATATTTTCCTCTCCCGTTTATTTGGGAAAAATAAAGTTCGGTGGCGACTCTGTCGAACCGCATTTCCGCGCCTTTCGCGCGAGGGTCGTATGTTCGAATGAATTTTCGAGGTGCGACAATATCACGATATTTTGGTGGGATGGATCGTTGCTCAGATGGAGTGTATGCGATTCATCCGTACTCCTGTGTGGAGAATGGTGGGATGAATCGTTGCTTAGATGGAGTGTATGCGATTCATCCGTACTCCTGTGTAGAGAATAGTGGGATGAATCGTTGCTCAGATGGAGTGTATGCGATTCATCCATACTCCTATGTGGAGAATGGTGGGATGGATCGTTGCTCGGATGGAGTGTATGCGATCCATCCGTACTCCTGTGTGGAGAATGGTGGGATGAATCGTTGCTCGGATAGAGTGTATGCGATTCATCCATACTCCTATGTGGAGAATGGTGGGATATATCATTGCCATTGGTGGGTGTATGTGATCTATCCGGTGCTCCCTTGTGGAGGGTTGATGGCCCGGTGTCCATCGATGTTGTTGAGTCGGTACCGCATATCATGGTGTTGAGTTGCATATTTTTGCATTGTCTTGTGTGCTGTGTTGGTGTTGGACAGTAGGTCCTGGTTGATGTATGTTGAATGATATTCATATGATTGCTACCTTTTATTCATGTACATTATTACCGCTATATTTTTGATCATGATTACTCACCCCTTTTGTTGTTGTTGTGGTCTGTGCTTCTTCAGAAGTACAGATAATCCAGGTGTGTAGCTGGCTTGGATAGTGGCGAGTCGAGTCATAGGGATGCTCTGATACGTAACACGAGGCTTTGGGAGTTTATTGTTTTTCTGATGATTTTGTATATTTTGGGCGGATGGCCGAATATGATGTATATATGTATATATAATATTTCCGCTGTTTACTGTTGAAAACCATTTAATGAAGTGTTTTTGTTGAGTTTCGTTTGTGATATCCCGCTTGGTGTGGTAACTCTGATAATTGTTTGATTCATTTGCTATTTATTTTAATTTTGGGGAGCGGGGTGTTACAAAAACCCTTAAGCCGTTTCGCGCGCAAACTAAAACCTCGATTCATATCAAGTATTTTATTCATATCAAATTAATATGCTTAATCATATTCAAATACAATTTCGATAAAGATGAAAAGGGAGTTGGAATCAAGTCTTTGATTCCTCTTCTTTGTTGTTTGGGCCTGGGGAGCCTTTCTTAAGTCCAAACAATTGTCTTCTTTAAAAGATGTACAATGTGACAAACTACATCTATTTTCTCGAACACTTAGATGAAAAAGAGAGAGAGTCAAGTCTTTGAATCACTTTCCCGATTACTTGGGCCCGAGGAGCCTTTCTTAAGCTTCAAGTAATCGTCATCCGATTAATTAACTCTAATTATATCAAAGATCTTTCATAATATTAGATGAGAAAAAGGGAGAGTCATGCCTTTGACTCATTCTGATTACTCAGGGTCCGAGAAGTCTTTCTTAAGCTCCGAGTAATCCTCATCCATTAAAATAGTTTAACTACTTCTTCATCGATCAAAGCGCTTTCGAAGCATAACCTCCGTTTTAGATGAAAGAGAGAGAGAGAGAGAGAGAGAGAGAGAGAGAGAGAGAGAGAGAGAGAGAGAGAGAGAGAGAGAGAGAGAGAGAGAGAGAGAGAGAGAGAGAGAGAGGGAGAGAGAGAGAGAGAGTCAAGTCTTTGACTCACTCTCCCGATTACTTGGGCCCGAGAAGCCTTTCTTAAGCTTCGAGTAATCGCCATCTGATCAGCTTACTCAAACCACATCATATCCTTTTGCAATTAAGGTTGAAAAGGAGAGGGAGTCAAGTCTTTGACTCACTTTCTCGATTACTTGGGCCCGAGGAGCTTTTCTTAAGCTTCAGGTAATCGTAACCTCTAGCTAAAAATTTGATATATCAAACCTCGTTTTCTCGCCCCCGTGCAACCAAAACCCTAAAACCTATTCAAATCAAACTCTCTTTTCTCACCCCCGTGCGATTGATACTTCCCAATACACTAATTCCTCGCCCTCGTGCGATCCACAACTCAAACACCCTTACCAAAGAACATTGTTTAGTCCTTTCTTCCATGCATAACAAACTCGTGCTTCAGCCTCCCCTAGCGAGCAGACAAGCCAACATTTAGTAGTTAGAATGTGACCTAAACACTCGTTCGTCAAACCTTTTACCATATTTGTCTGAACTACAGACGCTCTGATTCTTCATTCTCTTCTGAATGTAAGATACGTAGGCACAAGATTGTGATGATCTTGGCGAGCACAATTCCATAATTCCCTCATTTTCCCGTAGTCCCACGAACTACGATACTCTGACTTTCCCATTGCACAAGGGAGTACGTAGACACAAGGGCCCCAATCCTTGGCGAGCACCCTAATAATAAAGCACCCCTTTTCCCCTTAGTAAGAAAATTCTTTAGAAGATAAACAAACAAGCATAGCTAATTTCTCTCACAAACGTAGAGGGTGCTAATACCTTCCCTTTGCGTAATCGAATCCCGAACCTAGATTTTGGCTATGATGACCATGTTCTTATATCTTTTAAAGGTTTTATTGATATTTTCCTATTACTTCATTGGAATGAATAAAGTTCGGTGGTGACTCTGTTCGAACCATTTTTTCGCGTCCATCACGAGGATCGTATTTTTCGAGGTACGACACGTGGCACCTGAGTGTGTGTAATGTTTGGGTTGGGCATTACCATTTATGATATCCAAATCCTCAGTAGATTGGCCCAATGCGCACCACAACTGAATTTGTGTTGTTTCTGGATTTACTTTCTCACCCCTTTGCCTTGGTTTTCCATTTTATTTTATTTTTATTTCGTTTTCATTTTAATTTTAATACTTGAAATTATTTTTAAAATACTTAAAAATATGTTTCTGATCCTTCATTGTGTTGGGATAATTTTCATTGTTTTTATTTTATTTTTCCATTTATTTTCATATTTTATTTTGAATTTATTTGATAAGTGGTCTGACATGTATACCCTTGAATTAGGGTTTGTGCTTTTGATGGCTTTTGATCACCTTCTTGAACCAATTTTTCTCACATGTATGGACTCTTGATTATTAAATACTTGAATGTGGTTTTTGCGCTTAGATGATCAATTATTGGATGTTTCTTAATTAATTTTAATTGATCCTCGATGTATGCTCGATTGGCCTCCTACATGATCTTGTTTGGCTTGATTTGGTGTTGAATTTATGCAATCTCTTTGAGATGTTTTTCATGATGAATATTGATTGTTTTCACTTGTATTGAAGCTTTAGGTTCACTTTTATTGGACCATTTTCCTATTTTTGGTTGAATTTCCAAGTTGATATTGTTTTGATCATGTTTCCTTTTTGTTCTTGATCTATTTTCTTGAGAGTGTTTCTTGAATGATCCAATTGATGCTTGATAACTCTTGTATTGACATGTTTAATGTCCTGACCTTCATATTTAGAGGTTCATTGTATGATAACTTTGTCTCACTTACCTCACATGATAATTTAACTTAATTTTCATCTTGTTGAACTCATTTTGATTTAGTATGTTGCATCATGGTGTTCAATTGTGGTTCTAAAACAAGTTTGCTTATGCACCTCTTTGAATGTCTTCATCTTTTCTATGGAACTTGAAAGTATGTACACTTTGCTCATGATGATGTGATGTTTGAGAATATAGGATTGATGGTATGTTCTATACTCCTTTAATGTCTTGATTCATTTGATAAATATACTCTAATCTTGGTGTGACACTTGTGCATTGATGTTGATTTCTTCTCATCTTGTGTTGCTTTGACACTTTCTTTCTCTTTATCTCTTTTCTTCTCCTTTGAGTTTTAAATTGACTTTTGTTGTTTGTGATTGATTAGTATAATGTTTACTTGTGTTTGTTCACATGATCCCTTAGGATTCCTAGCTCAACTTAATTTCTGATTAAGCTAGAGGTAGGAGAGACATTAGGCTTTCAATCATTTGCATGATAATAACTAGGATAGTCCCTTTTAAACCTTAAACTTAGGTATATCTTCTTGCATGATAACATTAAGTAGAAT